GCTGGCTTTCAGAGGGTCACCTCCCGGCTGGGTCCTCACACAGTCTCACCCTCTTCCTCTTCTTAAAAGCTTCTAATAATTTCCCAGCGTCCCCATCTCCAAACACCGTCGCATTGGGGGTTAAGGTTTCAACATAAGAATTTAGTGGGAAATGGAGAGTGACTCGGGCCCTAACAATAGTCTTCTCTCATCTAATCCTTGCGATAAAACTATTCACTATTAAAAAAAAAAGCAGATCTTCACATAGTTAGGCAAGTAAAATCTAAAAACATTTGTGTGTGTGTTCTCAGGTGCTCTTTCCAGTTAAAAGCTACGCAGAGATGCATGTCCCAGACACGTACCTCAGGCAACCAGAGGTACACGGTCGGTTCAGGTCTGTTGCCTTTTGGAAGCTTGTGGAATCCTGCCGCTGTCAGAAAGTGAGATGGATGTAAGAAGCGAAAATGATTCCATTTAGAAAATGTAAATGAATCAGAGTAGACACATTTCAATTATGTATAAATATTGGGTCCATGGAAATTACATCTCAGGGTGAGGGGCCAAGGATGACTAATAGGAGAAAATACAAAAGATGTATAGTGTAAACCTTGACGAGTTGCGGTCAGAGGGGAACGATCTTGACTTAATACTCAGCCAACATGTGAATGGAAGCATTGATCTTTGGAAGCACAGGCTTTTTAAACTGTTTCAGTTCAAAAAGTTAAAATTTACAGCCCAAGTTTTGTTTTGCTGCATCACATGTTGACCGAGTATCTCGGGACGTCCCCTTTATTTATGAACCTTCACAAATGGCCCTGTTACAAAGGACAATTTCTACTAAACATACCCCCCCTTTTTTTTTTTAAAGGTTTTCCTTCCATTTAGAGTCTTTTAAAGTAGACATGCTGTCTGAAACCGCTCTGCTTGGTACCTGTAACATAAAAGCCTCCTAAACAAGAGAACCTGTATCGAGACACCTGTGGCCCTTTGAGCATCTTCCCTGTGTTGTTCGTCCTGCTGGAGCTGAAGAGCCTGACTCTGGAGCAGCTGCAGGGAGTCAGTGAGATGACATCCGGGAAATACCAGAACGTTGCATCCCGTCCTGTTGTTGCTCTGATTAGTACCATTGGTTTAACTACTTTACTGCTAGAATGTCTCTTGCACAGTCTAGGACACCAGTCAATTGCTCATGCTCTTCCATGGATGAGCTAAAATAAAAACAGCTAAATAACACAGAGAAAAACATAACCATCTTCCGCAGCTGAGTGGTGAGGGCTGGTGTTGGGGACTGAGGTGCGTGAACTCAGGCAAGTTCCTTAAACTTCCTACGATGTAGTTGGCTCACCTGTAAAATGAGGGAGAGAATACCTACCTCACTGTGGAGATTAAATGCCATTTATGCCAAATGTATGGTCAGTGCTCTTACAGTGCAAACCTAACGGCGTTGTCATTTTAAATCAAGGGCGTGCTGCGTGACCGGGGATGTCCACCAGGTGGTGCTAAAAACAGCGCCCAGAGAGGAAGCGGTCCTCTCGGAGACCTGGCCTCTCACAGGGCTTCAGGAAGGAAGGCTTCTGATAAACACTCCAAGCCACGCTCCTTGCCTCGCTTGGGAACTTTCATCTGCTCTTGAAGTTCTCAAACACTTCTGCCCTACTCTGCCTTCAGAGTAAGATCCTCATCAGCCAACAAACAATTATTGAGTGCCTCTGGTATGCACGGGGCTGGCTCTACAGAGATGCACTCATTGCAGCCCCTGCCCGATCGTGAACTCCACTTCCAGCACGCTGATCCGGAACATAGATTCTGCCTGGGAGACATCACACCTGTCGGTAGTTGATCACGAGCGTGGAGCCCACGGCCCAGGACTGGGTTAGAAGAGCTGTGAGCTGAACAGAAGCTGTGGGATGGGGACGCCCGGCAAGAAGAGAGGGCCTCAGGGTCCCCAGGAAAGTTCAAGGGAGCCATGCTCAAAACCAGGATAGGGTTGTGTCCAAAGAGCCAGAAGCAGGAAGAGACAAAGCAAGAAAGTCACCAAGATGACACAAAAATGCCCCTAGACTTGGAACAGGAAGACGCCCCTTGACAGTTGCCTGGAGACAGACGGGGAGACGTGCCAGGGGAGATGGCGAGACACAGGCACCTTCTCAAGGAGTAGGGGCGGGTAGGGGATAACCAGAGGGGCTCCAGGTGCCTGGGGAGGAGGGCTCTGGGCTTTTACTTTTGATAGTTAGTTTTTTTTAACCTTGGGAGAAAGAGATCTGACAGTGCGTCCAGGTGGAGGGGACGCAGCCAGCAGGGAGGGACAGGTTGACTTTAAGCACACGTGGGAGAGATTGGCTTCCCGCTTCCCTTGTCTCAGACAAGCATGAGCCCTAGACGACTCCCTGGCCTGCCCAGCCTCAAAACTGTCGCCCACGCAGCTGCACAGGGTAAAAGGGGCCGCTGTATGTCAGGATCCTGCCAGCGCCAGCCAAAAACCTCCATTCCCCAATTTCAGCTTCTCAGCTATTGGAACAACAAAGGGAGGATGTGTACAGGCTACGTGCCTTTAAGTAACTTTCTTTGAAAGGAAAACCAGCTTACAATCTTACGTCACCAGACAGATGCATCTGATGAAATGCAAATCAGCCCGTTCGAAGCAGTCGGTCACGAGTGTGCGGCTGACTTGCAAGCGGCCGGTGCTTTCTTCCTCCGTCTTCTGATGGAGGCTGCTTCTAGTTCCAGTTTTGAACCCTGGGTCATGTGCTTCTGGTCCAGGCTTCTTCCAAACACAAAGTTAATGCTTGAACAATAAATCATTTATAATTGGACTGGCTAATTATAATAGAGAATTCATATGCGTGTGAAGACATTCAGGCATAGAGAAAATGAAAGCCTCTATGTTTCCATCTCGCAAATGGCAGGAAACGTATTCAGGTGACTTTGTTAAGGCCCAGGCCGTGTTTATTTTAGGTATTTTAGCACCCAACAGAAAGCCACAGTTTTCTTATTTGTGAATATCGTAAACCTGGTGGCCATGAAGCCCATGACAGGCTTGGTTGCGCCCCAGCAATGGAAGGGAAGTGGTAACTTGATTGCCTCAATGGAGATATATCTTGAATATCTTTATACATGTTTCCAGTAGCCCCCGTGCCCTGCATCTAGATTCTTTGATTGTCAGTCCCACAGGCACTTAAGAAATGTCTTTGAATTGAGTGACACAAACAAGCAGAGAGCAAAGTCCACTACCCTCCCTGACCTAATGAGTAGTCAGGGCGCAGATTCTTGCTGGTCATTCCAGACTTGATAGCACGCAGGGGTCAGCCTGTGACAGAGGACCGGGCATCCGTTTGGGCACGACATTGAAGTTCCTTGATTAGTCATGACACTTGCCTGGTTCAGAGATTGTTCAGAACCTCTGCTTTCCTTTGTGTGCCCTTCCCCGTACAGGACAGAGGAAATGCTGAAATCAAATTGGTCATTTGGTTTCCACGGCTAGTCTGCAGGTTGAGAGATTTGCTGGTAGGAGAGCCTGGGGCGCTGGGCCAGAAGGAGCTGCTGCCGTCCGTCTATCTCCTCCACCCCACTGCCCGCCCCTCCTGCATCTCTGCTCCCCCAAGGGCCGCTGTCTGCCTGTCTGACACCCGCGTGCTGGCAGCGATGTGCCCCGATGTGTTCAAACGCTCAGCGATTTTAATTAACCGATCGCTGTTCCAGGAACCAACATCAAATACTCTTGTGATCTTTCATGATGAAGCAGGAACCACTGGGTAGAGGAGACAGGAAATGGCCCTGCCCCCAGCTCCTGCTGGTTACACTGAGCTGGGGCCAGAAACACCCCATAAACCCTCAGGCTGTCATTTATTAGAAATAATGTCATTGGGGAGTTGCCATGGCGCGGTGGCCTCCAGCTGAGCCCAGACTCCCAGGGAGGAAGGGGGGAAATTGCCTGCCGGCTCCGGCTGATTGACCGTTAACCTCGGTCCCCACAGTACAGATAAAGCCCAACAAAAGGGAAGTTGATGACGATTTTATTAAAAAGGCGATTCCGATGAGGTTTCTTTTTAACTCGATGGAATGAATGTTGCTAAAGGATTGGGGGCAGAGAAATGAAATCAGAAGCTGAATAAATGACTTAATTGCTTTGCCATAGCCATGCATTTTTTAAAAATGAGAGGCATGACAGGGAAGATTGCATCACCGAGATTTTAAATCCTTGGTTACTGCGAGCAAACACAGCCACAACCCTGGATGGAAAGCCCGTCCAAGTTGAAATGAAGGTGATACTGGTTTTATTACAGACGGGTCGCGGGAGGGTTCGCGAGGCAGACAGCTTATGAATTCCTTTGGCCTGATGTCGTTTTGAAGAGACGTGTGGCCAGGCATTCTGAGCCACAGGACACGGATTCAGATCAAACCAAGCCTATGGCTCTGCTTCTCAGCTGCTCTAGAGGGCCTGTTGCCTGACGACCCGCCCTCTGGTGTGTGCAGAGGAGCAGCATCTTCCCAATTAGATTAAGTGAACGTTCTTCCTCCCGTACCATGACCTTCCCCCCAGACGTACAGAAAGTGCAGAACTTGACGTGATCT